AAAAAAAAAAAAAAAAAAGTGACACTCCAAAGGATTTTATCATTTTTACTCTAAAAACTGACGTCTTTTTTAACACACCTACATGGTCCACCACGGTCTGGCACCTGCCTACTTTCTGGCCTCACCATGACAATTATCCCCGCTTCCTTCTCTACCAACTATCTAGACCTTCTTGTAGTTCCTTTAACACACCATACTCCCTGTAGACACTGGGCCTTTACACAAGCCCTTTCCCAATGGAAAGTGCTCAATGCCAGGGGTTCTACGATGCTTCTCAAAGGTGTTTTCTTCTGTGTCTGACTTATAGAAAACCTCCACATATACTTGTGTAACATATGAACTGATGGCCTAACTATACTGTGAAGAGAGGCAGAACAATGGTAAATTTAATAACCTTCATTAAAACAGCTACCACTTACTGAGCCTACTGTGCATCACCTCATCTAATCTTCACAACAAACCCAGTAGATAAGTCTGAACCCCATTTTACAGTGAAGAAACAGGTTCTGAGAGGTAAGATCCTCAGCCAAGGACACACTGTAGGAAGAACCAAAGACTTCAAACACAACTCTGACGCCAAAGTCAGTTCTCCAAACTGGCTTCTGGGTCTGAAATATTAAAAACTAAGACTGAATAAAGTATTTTAGTCACTAAGTTGTACTCACTAGTTTCTGTAGCTGTGGAGTGGCTTATTTTCTCCAACTAATAACAGTAACTGCTCCCACTTACTGAGGGCTTACCGTAAGACACTATTTAACGCTTTATTTATATAGATGTTTTCATTTTACCCTCATGATACTTTACTAAAGTCAGATCATCCCGACTTAGGAAAAACTGAAGCTCAAGGAAATTTTTCTGGCGAGGAAATAGTCTGTAAATTTGAGTACTGGAAGCAGCTTTCCTCGCCGGCAGTCCGGGGACCGCTCAAGGTCTCCGAGGCTTACTTAAAACCAGCCACAAAGGCGACACTCTCATAGCTATCCCGACTGTTCCCTTGAAGACGCAGGCCTGGTCCGGCTGGGCACGAGTGCCATGAATGCGTCTCAGGACAGCGGCTTCCTTCTCGGTCCCCGGGCCTCGCTCCATCCACGCCGGGGGGCTCATCACCCCCGTGAGGACAGATCCAGTAATTAAAGGCCTTCGACCCATTTTCTCTGGTTCCTCAATTGCCCTTCGCCCGCAAGTTCTAGGAACATTTTCTTACCCAGTCTCATAGAAGCCGACCCCAAGACCATCCGACAGAAGCTCGGGTAATCTCGTAATGTTTACTTCCGGCTTTCATCCTTATTCCGGCAGCCACTGAGACAACTTCCGGATGAAGGGCACATGCGCACTAATTTCCCGGAGGGGCGGGGGGCCTCCGGTGCTCTGGCGTCGATCTCGCGTGTGGGTATCGCGCTTTTTACCCGGATTGTGGAGAGATTGAAGTTGGGCAGTTTGTTTTTGGCTTCTATTTGGGAACATTCGTTTCTTTTAGAATCGAAGAATTTTAGGAAGTTTTTTTTAAAAAATACCCAGAACAGACAACAGCTTAAGCCTCATTAGGGGACTATGAAATGAATGGGGAAGTTGGTGACGTATCAGCTACAAAAAAGAAAAAAAAAAACCCAGTTAAAGTTGGTACTAATTAGTAGCCAGGCTGTGTAACATGCTGGGGGTTTAGTGAACAGTGTCTTTCCTCAAATTTACATCAGAGTGCGAAAGGCACCGAAACAGCTATTCAGATAATTTAGCAGTTGGGAAACGTTGCTATGAAAGGAATACCAGGTGTTGTGAGAACATAAGGCATGTTATCATTAGAAAAAAATACGACGATTTCCATTTTGGAGAAACATTAGTATCTATGCTATCCCATCCCTCCTTTAAAAGTATACATGTGAAATAAAATACTGGAAAATAAACTAATATTGGTGGTAGAATTTCTTGTAATTTTTTTTTTTTAATTTGTGCTGTCTATTCTGGTTGTTCTCTGCCTCTCCCTTCTTAACGTGTGTCCTTTTTGAATGTAAAAGTTAAAATAGCTACCATCCCTGCCTCAATAAAATAGCTCAACATAATATAATCTAGTTTTTTGTACTAAGAATTTGCAGGCTAGGCGCGGTGGCTCACGCCTGAAATCCCAGCACTCTGGGAGGCCGAGGTGGGTGGATTACCTGAGGTCCAGAGTTCAAACCAGCCTGGCCAACATAGTGAAACCCCGTCTCTACTAAAAATACAAAAATTAACTGGGCGGGTTGGTGCACGCCTGTAATCCCACCTACTTGGGAGGCTGAGACAGGAGAATGGCTTGAATCCGGGAGGCGGAGATTGCAGTGAGCTGAGATCACGCCGTAGTAAGTACTCCAGCCTGGGCAACAAAGCAAGATTCCAGCAACAACAACAACAACAGGAACAACAACAAAAGAATTTGCAATACCTGGAGTTTAGGAACATAAATGTTAATTCTGCGGCTGGGCGCAGTGGCTCATGCCTGTAATCCCAGCACTTTGGGAGGCCGAGGTGGGCGGATCACGAGATCAGGAGATCGAGACCATCGTGGCCAGCAGGGTGAAACTCCGTATCTACTAAACATACAAAAATTAGCTGTATGTGATAGTGTGCGCCTGTAATCCCAGCTACTGGGATGCCGAGCCAGGAGAATCACTTGAACCTGGGAGGCGGAGATTGCACTCCAGCCCAGCACAGAGCAAGGCTCCACTTCAAAAAAAAAAAAATGTTAATTTTGCTTTTACAAGGCAGTAGACGAAGAAATAGAGTCAGAGACTAGCGTAACATGCTGGAGCTTTGGTGAACATAGTGTCTTTCCTCAAATTTACATCAGAGTGTGAAAGACACCAAAACAACTATTCAGATAATTTAGCAGTTGTAAAAAGTTGCCATGAAAGGAATACCAGGTGCTGTGAGAACATAAGGCAGTAGAGTCAATGAATCACTCAGGCTTTGCTTTTTTCCACTTAAAAACATTCCTGAAATTTGCTTAGGAGTGTTAAGGCCTAATAAGCGAAAACCACCAGGAGAGCACATCTTGATGAGGAATCAGAATGCTCAGGACAAGAGAGTTCAATCTTTTCTAAGACTTGAGGTCCCTCTGGAGGGTTCTAAGGAAGGTCTAGGAAAGCGGGGATTGGTTCTGGAGGGGTTGCTGTTTGTAAAGCAGGATTAGGAGAAACTGATTAGGGACTAAGTGCTGTTATGAGTGAGGGTGGGTTAGCAATTGAGTATCTCCAGTAATAGAAATAGCAAAGCTGGTCTGGGGGCATCATTTGTAAGAAATAGTTGTTATTCAAAGAGAGGGTGGTTATAGTTTACAGCTGTTGCATGACCTTGGGAGAAACAATGCTTTCTGCTGGTGAAAATAGAAGACACTGTAAGGAGATAAACCTTGCACCCCAAAACCTTTGTAGATAGAGAATCTCCACTTGGAAGCTATAGGTGTTGTACAGATTTAGTCGCAAAAACTTACACTTTGAGTGCTGATAATATAATATGATGATGTAAAATTTAGGAGATACAGGAGGAAATGAGGGATGGGGATAAAGAAAAGAGGACAGTGAAGGGACAATAAAGGTATGCATATTTTTCTGTCTTTCCTCTTTTCTTCACTTAGGTTAGGCTCTTTTCATCTTGATACCTAGTATAATGTCCAGCATTTAATAGGTATTGAATAAATATTTGTGAATGAATGAATGAATGAATTATTCAATCAATTTTGGTCCTGAAATGCCAGGGAAGAAGAGGTGATGAACTGGCAAATATTGAGAACCATGTCTATGTCAGGTATAGTGTTAAACCTTTTGTGAAAGAGTAATATGGAATCAACTCCTCTCTCAGCTGATCTGCAGGTTAAAATGTATATATGGTGACCTGTGGGAAGCAGAGTTTGAATGACACAGGTCAGCCTTGATCTTTTGAATTTGTACCTTTATCTTGCAGTTGTTCAATATATTCCAATTTACTATAAAAACAGGAAAAGGTCATCAACTTTTTCAAGCTAAATTTATTTTCATATCTGGGAAACTGGAATTCCTTTTTTATTTCTTTATTATCTCTCTGATGTTCTCTTGCTCCCTGGCCAAGCCCTTCCAGGCAGCTTTGGAATATATTCCTGAGATGTTAGAGGTTTAAATAAATCATTATTAAATGATAGGATTTTAAGGGAAGACTAAATTATGTATTCATTAGAATCATCATTTTGTTCCTAAGACAGATTTGTGATTGTATAATAGAAACAGCATCTTAGCCTCAAGTATTGAGGACAGTCCTAAGATTAGGGAATGATCAGTCTGTTCTTAATCATAAGCATAACAGAATGACTCAAACGCTGCTGTTTGATCTCTCTGTACTTACATTTCTTCTTAATTTTAAATTCTTCTCTGCTAGTATTCTTTAGACCCAACACTGGTTGTTCCCCCATTTCCAAAAGTAATTCTATTTATTTTCCATCCTTCCTACAGTGCCATTTAAATAAAAATATCTTAAGGCAATAAAACATTGTCATTGAGCCAGTACCTCAGTCCATGCAGCTTAATAATATGGAGAGCAAAACAAAGCCACTCAGGTTTTTTAAAATATTACATGATCCTAGTTTTCCCCGCCCCCCACCGAAAACGTGCCGCAAAGTTTGCAGAAAAGAGCCTTTGGGGAGGAGCCCTGGCTGCTTAGGTCCCTCCATTGGTTCTGCTTGGTGACCACGCCCCCGGCCCCGCCTCCTGGGCGGAAGAACCAATTGGGCCGCGAGTTGTGGTTTAAACCGGGAGTGCGCGGCGTCCGTTCACTGCGATCTCAGAGGAAGGTGGCTGTTGAGAGCGGCGTGAGTGAGCCGGAGGGTCGCAGTTTTGTAGGGCGAACCGGGTCGGGGGGCGAAGGAGGTGGGCTGGGGCTGGGGGACTGCCCGGGGCGCAGATGGCTCCGAGCCCTTATGAGCGCGGTCTCGGACTGAGAACTGGACCTGCGGCAATTCTCCTCTGATGAATGCCAGCTCCAAACCGCCTGCTTCCTCAGGACCTTAGAACCTCTGACTCAGGCTGGAAGATTTAAGCGCTGGATGAAATACTTGTTGGCTGAAGCCCGTCATTGTATTGTCTCTCTGTTTAGCTCTCGTTTTTGTGTGAATATCCCTAGGATAGGAAGCTTGGACTGTTGCTGGACCTTAGCTTCTCGCACCTTCCCCAATATCTAATATGTATTTCTCATTTTTAGAATAATCCAGAATGGCTACTCTGATCTATGTTGATAAGGAAAATGGAGAAACAGGCACCCGTGTGGCTGCTAAGGATGGGCTGAAGCTGGGGTCTGGACATTGTAAGTATGCAAGACTGCAGTCAGATACACTCATATTGTGGACGTGGCCTGGAGCTGGACGAGACAATTTAGTGTACTTTGTGGGCAATCAGAGTCAAGTTTGTTATTGGTCCTTTTTCATTTTCAATATCTTAATGAGACGATTTAAGAGTACTGAATCTCAGCTATTAGGTGTATCATAGTCATGCCACTACCAAGAATGGGGGGTGGGTTTGGGGGTGAGAGGTCAAGTTTATATACACAGTATTCAAGTTGCACAGGTATTTTGCTGCTGGAATATTCTTACATTAAGACTTTTTCTTCAGCAGTCAAAGCCTTAAATGGGAGATCTCAACTTTCAACACCACGTTTTGGCAAAACGTTTGATGCTCCACCAGCCTTACCTAAAGCTACTAGAAAGGCTTTGGGAACTGTTAACAGAGCTACAGAAAAGTCAGTAAAGACCAATGGACCCCTCAATCAAAAACAGCCAAGCTTTTCTGCCAAAAAGGTGAGTGTTGGCTATAAAGACACTGTTTAAACACTTAAGCACTTTTGACTCTTAAAATGACCATTGGCGTCATCCTACCTAGCTTTTTTCCCTCTAAGTAGAAGGGAAGCAGAGGTTAGCAAACAGAGCAGTGGAGGAAACTCATTGTCCTTGTGGCTTCTTGGTACTTTGAGATAGGAAATCTCACGTGCAGCTATTGCATATTTTTGCCTCACCTGTTTTTAACTAGTGTCTTGAAACAGATTGGTGGTTGTTATCCACTTGAAGATACATACTGAGTGAAGAGGGTAGTTGAGGAGGTTCTGTTGCTGCTGTAATAGCACAGGTGCTGCCATTGTCCTCCTGGCTTTCCAGAGCAAGCAGCAGCTTGTTAGGTGACAATTTGCTAGCATGTTGATTTTTGCGAGTGTGGATCACAAGCTACAGGCCTGTGTATCCCAGACCCAGAGCACTTTGCTGTGAAAGATGAAGTTAGCATGTGGATTGACACTTTATTTGAAACACTTTTTCTTTTCCAGCACAAGCGACACAGAAAAAAGTTTTTTTAAAAAATTTGCATTAGGAAACAACTAGTGAATTACATGTAGTGCAAACTAGGACGTCTTCTTTAAAAGTGAATTAAAAATATTAAACACAGGAATTGCAAAGATACAGGAAAAGCAATAAGACACAGTACTGAAGTGTGAGAACCCCACAGGGAGTTCTAGGCATGCATATGTGAGGTGTGGTAAATCAGGAACATGCAGGCTTCCATTGTGGCACGCTTCTGTAGTAGACCTGTCAACTCCAGACTAGGGGATTGTCCATGGTGTTTTTATAAAGTCTTGACAGTGTCTTGCTGCCTCTTACTCAGTGTGTGTATTTGAGGAACACAAACTTGTTTTTAATATTAACCAAGCAAATAATTAAGGTAACACGGAAAAAATCATACTCCCATAAGCCACAAATGGTTTTGATGATTAGCTACTGTCCTGGGTGATTCATGCCCATTTTCTCTTCTGTTAGGTTGAATAATTGTGTTGATTAGCTCTGAATTAACTCTGCATTCTTGATAACTTATGCTGACAGGTGCTGATACTTAAATTTCAGATTTAACTTTTTTTTTTTTTTTTTTTTGAG